TAGGGAAAGGGCCTTCTACCATTTAAATTCGGAAATTTTTGAAATTTATGCTAAATTAACATTCAATTTAACATTTATTTCAAGTACTGAAATAAATATTAAAAGGCATGTTAATTTGACATAAATTTCCAAATTCAAATGGTAAAAGGCCCTTTTCCTACGCTACTTTTTCCCCTAGCGGAAGCCGCCGAGTTTGCTCGCGAGGGGCATAGAAATATTATTCCTATATCCATGCCCATCTCGCATCCATATCATATACAGATCAGTGACTCGGTGGAAGTAAAGTGGGAGACGATGATAGGTCATAGTGGGGGTACCAAGTTCCACGGGTTGACGATTCTGGCATCACTGATCGTACTTCTTTCCGGATTTAGGCGAGTAGTGTGTCGGTTCTGTTTTGTAGGGGCTCGTGTTCCACTAACACTAAAAATGACGTGAGTATTTAATCCTTTTATATTTTAACAATCCAAAGTGTTAATGCCTTCTTAATATTGAGAAAATTTGTTTTCATTTATATTGAGAACGTGGCTGTCAATATTTTTAAAAAATAACTTCGCGTTTAAATGTTCTTGTAGTTTAATTCCGTGGTATCGAAATACATGTTCTCGCATGCTACATCTTTTTGAAACCATACATTCTCCATCCATATACAGAATTGTTCAGTTATTTTTAGTTCAAGTTTTGAATTCTTATTTCAATTTGTATGTAAAAAAGTCAAGTATAATTTAGTACAATGAAGCTCACGTTTGCAAATTAACATTTTGAGTACAAATGTCCTAGAAGTTCTTAGAAGTGCACATGGGGGATAAGTGACTCCAAATGATTTAAAACTTGAATTATTTCCTAAGCTATGAACTTTCAAAAAAAGTTAAGCATTTTTTAAAGCTTAATATTTTTTTTTATACAGAGTAGTAAGAAAGAAGTTCATAGTGACAATTTTTTTGTTGAAAAATCAAGGATAAGGTTAAACTTGGGATGGGTCTTATTTATCTTGACTATCCCCCCGAAGCACTCGGAGTGTTAATATTCGATACTCTTGAGTTTTAACTTTGTTTAAGGATTTAAATTGTGTTTTCTTTACAATGGATTCAATTGATTAAATATGAGATTTAATACAGTAAACATTTATTTATAGTTTACAAAAATATTTTCCTTTTTCTTAAACTGTAGCGTATTATTACCATTCTTGAGAATATCTAATGAAAAGAACTGTAGGAAAATAACATTTTCGTGTAAAAATTTGATTTGCAACAAATACAAGAGAAACTGTACTGTGAGTCGGAAATGATCCAACGTCTCCCATGCATGCGACTGTGTCGTCCGTCTTTTGAGGGTTAATCATAAATCATTTTAACCTCTAGGTCCAAAGTATCGCGTGATACTCTGTACGAATGCGTGAATACCGTTATTACTACTTCGCAAGAGAAAAAGAGGAAATTTTTGGAAACAGTGGAACTCCAAATTGGTTTGAAGAATTATGATCCACAAAAGGACAAACGTTTCTCAGGCACCGTCAAGTACGTTTCTACCTGACATTGAGGATTCTTTTCGGTTTTTATTGATTGAGTGGTAATAGCCTTAATGGTAATTTTTTGTTTCTAACTAATACCCGAAAAGATTGTCTCATGTGTAGTCAGGAAGCTGGGATATACTCAGCGGACCTTTACCCAGGGTCTTAAATAAATTGGGGAGGTATTATACCGTTATTTTTATTACAGGATCATGATTTATGATCCTGCTGGTAAGTTAATATATATAGCGTGTGTTTAATTGATTCAAGTATTAAAACCAATGTTCAGTGATGTTAATTGCATTGCATGTATTATCTGAATTATTTGTGTGGATTACTGAAATATTACTGAGAACATTGACATTAATAATTGCATTTATCATATTTGGAAAGAGAAAAAATGAATATAATTTAAATTTCAACACTTAATCAGGCCCATATATTCACTAATTAGATATAAATAGTACCTATTATGATAATAAAATAGTTTGAAAACTTATTGTGTCAAATTACTTAAGAGATTATTACTACAATGCTTTAAAAAAAACTGTCATAATTTTCACAAGTATTTGATTACTGCAATGCAATGTAGTATTTCCATGTGAAACATGCAACTGATTAAGTGTTAACTACATGTTGGCAAATTTATAATGAATTATATGATAGACACGTAGAGTTATTAGAAATGAATTCTGTTAACTAAGCATGTAAATTGTTTTATTCAAGGCTAAAGAATATCCCAAGACCAAAAATGCAAGTTTGTGTTCTGGGTGATCAGCAACATTGTGATGAAGCTAAAGCTAATAATATCCCGTATATGGATGCTGAAGCATTAAAGAAATTGAACAAGAACAAGAAGCTTGTAAAGAAACTAGGTAATTAACAAATTGGTAATTTCATGATGTACTTCATGCATTTAATTTTAAGTAAAACCTATTTCGTGATGATATATACTCGACTAGATTAACATAGAATATGTTAGTATCGTTTGTCTTCCAAAAAGCACCATTGCTAGGTAATAATTTTATAGCTCTGGTCGTCTACTGGAAGAAGATCAACTTCTGCACTTGGTGAGGGCGTTGTGTTTCATTGCTTCGCACCTCAATCCGTGTTGAGACACTATGAATTGTATTTAAAATTATTAAACATTTTCAAATTTCAAGTTAATTTGAATTTAATCACTTTGTATTTTTTTATAGCTAAAAAATACGACGCATTTTTGGCTAGTGAGTCCTTAATTAAGCAAATCCCTCGTATCCTTGGTCCTGGTCTCAACAAGGCTGGTAAATTCCCTGGTCTACTTTCTCATCAAGAATCAATGGTAGGAAAGATTGATGAAGTTAAAGCCACAATCAAGTTCCAAATGAAGAAGGTATATACTCTAATTCTGAAAATTAATACCAACTTTATTTTTTACAGAAATATTATATTACTAATTTGTTAAATAAAATTCGAAGCAGACATTTTTTATGGTATTTAAATATAATTTCGAAATTGTTCTTCTAGGTATTGTGTCTATCAGTTGCTGTAGGACACGTGGGAATGACTCCCGATGAACTGGTGCAAAATGTGCATCTTTCAATTAATTTTCTGGTTTCTTTGCTGAAGAAACATTGGCAAAACGTACGTTCCCTTCATATTAAATCTTCCATGGGACCTCCTCAAAGGCTGTACTAAATTTGAATTGTATCCAAGTTTTTGGATGTATATTAAAAGAATAAAATGGAAAAAAACTTTAATTACATTATATTTTTATTTATGTGTTCTTAAACCATTACTTTTTTGACTTTTCGAATTTTAAATTGATTCATTTTGTTTATTACGCATAGAAAATGTTTAAGTCCTAAATATATACATTCGATTTACAAATGTAAATCGTATAGAACAATTTTCATGTTTGTCTTATTTTTAAGCCAATCTTTATATATAAATATTTATATAATTTGAAATATCGTACGTGAATAAGCTGTTAATAAGTTTTTATGATAAACAAAATTTATATGTAGCAATAAATTAAGTAATTATGACAAGATCGACAAGAACTTGAGTAATGCCTAATTTATGTCTAACGAGTGCTCAGTTACGTACATATATACATATATTGTTACGTGTTACCCGATAGGTAGCACGTATTGTATAATGTTAAAGCGAGAGACTTCAGGTTAGCGACGTGGTTTTGGTAACAACGCCAAAACAGAGTCAGAGTAGAGTCGTGATACGACTATAGAATATAAACGACGTGTTGAGATAAGTACTCCTCTCCAAATAAATAATTCTTCCTCTTTATCAATATTGCCTTTATTTATTCGGAAGTCATGCCGCGTCCACGCAACACTGGTGTCAGAAGTGGGATGGTCCAAATCCCTATTGATACTTCATGTCACGCAGCGGGCGACGATACATTAGAACTAAGAATGCTGGCTTTTGAAGAGCGAATAGAAAAGCGAATGACAGAATTTTGCCATGGTTCAAGAACTGAATTGGATCGAAGGATGACTGAATTTCTGGAAATTTCAAGGACCGAAATGCAAAGAAGATTTGACGAAAATCAGGCCAGTCATAATCAACTCACTTCGATACTAGAAAATATTTCCCATAGATTAAACATAACGCCAGAAAATAATTCAAATATTCAGATTAGAAACGATCCTTCTATCGAAAGAGAAACACATAATTCTCCTCGTTCACTTTCCTCATTACCATATCGCGCTAAACCCACGAAATTCGATGGTATAAATCCCTGGGAAACAATATTTAACACAATTTCAAACATTAGCCAAAATAAATAATTGGGATAAAAAGACAAAAGCCTTTGATAGATTCCCTTGAGTGTGAAGCCCTTTCTGTTTTAACGTGTATGGAAGAATCTAAACGAACTGATTTTGACGCGTTAGTTTCTAGATTAGATACTCAATATGGAGGTGAACATTTAACCCAATTAAATCGATATAAATTTTATAATTACAAACAAAGTGTTGGAGAATCTCTTCAAACGATGGCAAATCAAATTTGTCTCTTATCACAGTCGGTTTTCTCTGATTCCACCATTGAATATCGTGACAAACAGGCTTGTCAAAAATTCGTAGAGGCTATTAGAAATAATCATTTGAGGAAAGATGTTACACTGGCTTCTATTAACTCAGTTTCTTTAGACGAAGTACTCGAAATAGCACTCAAAATAGAAGCATTACACGATTCTACTTAGAAGAAAAATTTTGATTCTCCCTTATATAACCAAAGTTTCAAACAAGGTTACAACCCTCGCTCAGAATTCTATAAAGATTATGTTCTTGACACAGAACCTCCCTTTCAACGGGAAAGCTTCCGAAATAATTTTTATCGACAAAAGTCAAGTAATCGGAGCGATTTTCAAACTTCTAAATCACAAAATAATTTCTCACATTTGCATAATTTTCAAAATAATCGAGAAAATAAAAATAAAGAAATTACATGTTGAAAGTGTGGAAAAATTGGACATTTTTCATCGAATTGTTTCCTCCTTAACCGTAATATCAATCAGGGTAATTCTAATTTTACAAATCAAAAGGTTGACTTTAAAAACAAAAGAAAAGAAATGTCGGGAAACGAACATGGGTTGACGTAAAGGGGATCACGGAGACCTCAATTCTCAAAACACTTAAGAATCCCCTAGTTTCAGAAAATAAATCGATTAAAATTTCTCCTAAGAATGTCTCGAAAAATCATTCTTTTAATTCTCTCACAGAGATTTCTAACAATATTCCGAAAGAAACATCTAATGGTTTTTATATCAAAGGCTTCTTAAATGATGTCCCACAGAGATTTCTCATCGATACTGGTTCGGCTGTTTCACTATTAAAAGAATCTTCATACGAGAGTTCTGAAAAGTCAAACATAAAATTGAAAACAGTAACCGGACAAACTATGAAAATTTTTGGTTCAAAAATAATTAATATCAAAATCGGAGAGTTATATACAGAACAATTATTTTATATCACTGATATTACAGATGAGTGTATCTTAGATTTTCTGACAAAACATAAATGTTTAGTAGATTTAAATAAAAAGAATCTTCATATCGAAGGTTTTGAAAGGATTATTTTTTAGGGTTATAAACCCGAAATAATCGATGAGGAATCGATTACTACTAAACTGGTCGATATAGACATGAATGAGGTTAAAGATAGTAGTGTCAATAAAGAAAATGAAATTAGTAACATCAATAATGACGCGAATGTGGATATAGTAGATATAAGAGCTGACGTTGATAGCGTCGATAAAGACGTGAATATAGAAACTGAAATTGATAAAAATGTAAATGAAAGAATAGAAATTTATAAAGATGAGAATATAGGAATTAAAGTCGACAAAAATAATGTTCTAAATATTAGAAATAATTCTCTCACGAAATATAATACAGCTATTACTTGTAAAAAACCTGAGTTGCCTAAAATTTTAAAATTGATGTTTGAAAATAATACAACTAATTTAAATCAGACTGAAAAAGAAGAATTTAAACAATTTTTAATTTCATTCCAAGATGTTTTTGCTAGAAATAAGACTCAAATAGGACGTTGTAAACTCGTCAAACATACAATTGATACTGGAGATCATACCCCTATTAAACAGACTCCTCGAAGAATTCCAATACATCGAAAAGACGAGGTAGGAAAATTAATTACGGAAATGAAAGATCAGGGAGTTATTGAAAGATCATGCAGTTCTTGGACTTCTCCCGTTGTTCTTGTAAAAAAGAAGGATGGTTCGACGAGATTCTGTGTTGATTATCGCCAACTTAATAATATAACCAAGAAAGATTCTTACCCTTTACCTCGAATTGATGACACTTTAGATACTGTCACAGGTTCTTCTTGGTTTTCAACCTTAGATTTACAAAGTGGTTATTGGCAGATTGAGGTTGAAGAGAAAGATCGTGAGAAAACAGCATTTTCTATTGGAGAAGGTTTATGGCAATTTAAAGTCATGCCTTTTGGTTTGTGTAGTGCCCCTGCTACTTTTGAAAGATTAATGGACAATGTTTTAAAAGATTTGACATGGAAGAAATGCCTTGTCTATTTAGATGATATAATTATTTTTGGAAAGACGTTTAAAGAGGAATTAGAAAATTTACGTTCGGTGTTCTCTATGTTACATAAAGCAAATCTTCTGATTAGCCCAAAGAAATGTTCTTTCTTTCAGAAAGAAGTAAAATATTTTGGACATATTGTGTCCAAAGATGGTATTAAAACAAATCCAGGAAAGATTTCTTCGATCAAAGACTGGGGAAGACCAAAAAATAAGTCGGACGTTAAAAGTTTTCTAGGATTATGTACTTATTTTTCACGGTTTGTCAAAAACTTTTCTGCCATTGCTAGACCTTTGTATGATTTGACAGAAAATAAGAAATTTGTTTGGACAAGCAGTTCAGAAGAAGCTTTCGAAAAATTGAAGAATTGTTTAACTTCGACTCCGATTTTAGCTTTTCCTTCTCCACATGAATCTTTTATCTTAGATACAGATGCTTCAAATATTGGTATAGGAGCAGTTTTATCTCAAGTACAAGATAATATTGAAAGAGTAGTTGCGTATTTCAATAAATCTTTGAATAAGGTAGAAAAGAATTATTGCATTACTAGACGAGAATTATTAGCAATTATAAAGGCTATAGAACATTTTCATCGTTATTTATATGGAAGGAAATTTATAGTACGAACAGATCATGCAGCTTTGAGGTGGTTACTATCGTTTAAAAACCCAGAAGGTCAAATAGCAAGGTGGATTGAACATCTTCAACAATACAATTTTAAGATCGTACATCGAAACGGAAAATTTCATTCTAATGCTGATGCGTTGTCTAGAAGACCTTGTTTAGAAATTAGTTGTAAACATTGTGTTAATGTTGAGAATAAAGAGAAACTATCACAAGTTGAAGAGATTACAGTTTTTCGTACACAATGTGAATTGTTTGATGTTCAGGATTGGATCTCTTCTCAAGAGAAAGATCCTAATTTAAAACTAATATTGAGTAGTAAAATGTCTGAAAAAAGCCTTCTAAAGAGTCTTTATCACCTTTGTCATCAGAAATTAAATTTTATTTTTCTATTTGGGATACTCTACAAATTAAGAATGGACTTTTATATAAAAAATGGGAATCTTCTGATGGACGGAAAATAATTTGGCAACTTATCGTACCAATGGATAAAAAGGATATGATTCTTCAGGAAGCTCATAACT